ATTCCGTTTGAGGCTGATGGAAGCGTAGCCAACCAGATCTAACACATGGTTGTCTTGCATATTATCCTCTTTTTTCTTCTGAGTCCTTTCTGACCATAATCGTACTTCTGCATTCTTGACCTCTTGCATTATAACCCCTTTGTCCATTAATGTCAACTATTCGGGTTTAAACAAACACTTTTGTATATCAACACCTCTTTAAATGATGCAAATAATAAAACATGGAAATAAAACAAAAATGAAAGGAAATAAGTTAGTAAAATAGAAATAAAAATCAAAATAATGAAAATAAAATAAAAATTCCTACCCTACATGACATTTACCCTACATGCTTTTATTCCTACCCGGACATGATCTCTATCACGCATGTTATTTTCTCGAACAAATCCTAAACGCATAAATTTCTAATTCGCATGCTTTGAATAGAAAATAAAGTAGGAAATAAATCAAGCATCCTATGTTTTGAAATGAAGTTTTTAGGGTAGGCTCTAATTCCTTATAGCATCCTGGTTTGAGTTCTAAAAAAGGAACATGAGTTCTCCTTGTCGGTGCCCTCTTGGGCTATCCTAAGCTCATTATAAGCTCATATGGACCAAGTTAAACTCGAGAGGATACATTCCCTTATGTTTGTACGGAGAATAAATTCACACGAAGACATAAGGTATATGAATCCCGAAGGTTACTTGCTAGGCCTATACGGAGAATAAATTCCCACGAAGGCGTTGCTTTCACCTCCACTTATAAATAAGGTTTGGAGCTCGAGAATAGAGTCTGAGATTGAATGAATTTTTGAAAAAATTGAAATCATAAAAAAAAATCAGTACAACTATTTATTTGAACAAAAATCAAAAGTAAATAACAAGGATCGAAAGGATAAATTATAATTTAAAGTTACAATTTTCACTTAAGAAGACAACCGAAAATTAATTTTCACTTAATTCAAGTCGCCAAGTTGTCGTAACATTCCTTTGGGTGGGCCCGGAATTGGGTTTCGACTTGAATTAATGTGTTAGAGCCGCCATTGATCATTTAAAATAAGGTTGAGCTACATTTACCTGATATGCGTTTTACCAGTAATCGGATTCGGGAGTCGATTATAGTCAATGAAGGATTAGCACCCTTGTATTGCCCTTTCGGTATCAATTTAATTTCCTGGATGTCTTAATTGCGAAAATTATAATTAACATTAAATTTTAAAATTTGATCCAATATACTTACCTTTGACAAATAAAAATTGTACTAAAAAGCCAAATTAATGTTAAATAATAAAAATGAAATAAAAAAATGAATTAAAAGAAAATAAAATTAAAATTAAAGAAAGATTAAATTGGAAAACATTAGAAATTAAATGTCTAATTGATGTTAATTGAAAGCTTCAAGGAGGAAAATAAAAATTTAGGGGGTTAATTCGTAAAAAATAAAAATATAAATAGATATTAAATTGAATAAATTCAAAATTCAAGGGTAAATTTATAATAAATTACCAAAATGAATTACACTTCAGAATTAGAAGGACTGCAGAAATAATTAAATTATTTGGTATTTACAAACCGATCCACCCTATAAATAGCCCAAATTCCCTTTAAAAGCATTTTAACCTATATTTCACAAAACACTCTTCCCATTCCTCCCAAAATCCTCTCAACCAAACCAACCGGCCTAATGGCCAGCCACCCTCCGATGGAGCCCCACCGTCGCGTCGACCACTGCCTTATGTGGCCGGAAACCTAAAGATTTACCTCTTTTGAAAGCCCTCAACCCCGTGAACCTGAAATCGAAGCCCAAACTCCCCCCAAATCGGTGTAGATCTAGGTTTTAGTTTCTCAATTTTTACCTTTCCCGGTGAGCTTTCTAACTTTCAACGGCTTATTTTTCTCCGACGAGGCTCCCACGTGTTCCCGCTGACCTTTGATGAAGCAAAGCTTTGCCTTTTTGTTTTAGTTTCGAATGTTTGTAGCCTTGTTTTTTTTTATTCTTTTGGCTTGGTTTGCTGTTTGGTTTCTTTCGGTTTCCCTTTTGCCGAATATTGATTATTTTTAGTGGTTTTTGTGATTGTATCTCTGCTTGTGCTCTTGGTTTTCTCTATATCCCTTCCGATGGATTTGTAGGTATATATATAGCCCCTCGTCGGGGCTACTTTCCCCTTAAATTAGTGATAATGCAGCCCTGATTCTTGTGGGATTCTTGATTTTTGTTTCGGTTGGACTTTGTCGCAATGTTTGCCAAGAAAACTGGGGGAAGTTTTCTCCTATTTTGTTCTGTTTCGTTACGAGGAGTCTGACTGGTTGGTCAACGGAAACTAGGGGTGTGCAAATTCGAGTACCCGGATCTTCAGGTAATTAATTTCTCGGCCCGTGTCCCGACCTGGATGTTGCGGGTACCCAAATTTTGCAGGTACCTGAATACCCATTTTTTTCAAATTATTAATTAAAAAACACATATAAATTTAAATGTTCGAAACTTCGAATTACATAGTCCAACATCCAAACATAATTATAAAATGTCATGTTAGCATCATTGTTCATTTTTAATTATGGGTGTCCAAAACAGAATTAAAACGTAACGTTAGGTATAATTTTGAAAAAAAAATAATCGAGTGACCAAAACATAAATTAGATAATATATAATTGACCAAATAGGTAGTTTACCCTAAATAAATAAATATATATATGAATTATATTAGATAATATATAAGTGACCAAATAGGTAGTTTACCCTAAATAATAATCGAGTGACCAAAACATAAATTAGATAATATATAAGTGACCAAATAGGTAGTTTACCCTAAAAAAATTCCCTATTTGGATACTCTGGTAACCGAGTACCCGAAAAAATTCAATTTTGTGACCCGGGCCTGACCCGAGAAATGTCAGGTCGGGTACCCGACCCGGCCGGGTAAATATTTTTTAGAAAATTACCCTTTGTTTTAGGTTCGGTTCGACGGATCGGGTCAACCGGTTCGGGTCAATCGGGTCGGGTATTTTTGCACACCCTTACTGGAAACTGGCCTGGGATTCTCGGCCTCACGCGTCCTTTGCTAATTCCCGTGCAACGCCTTTGCTAAGTGTGTGTAACCCGAATTCTGCTGGGTCAGGCATATGGACTTAGCTAGGCCTCCACCGGGCTTGCTGGGTCAGGGTATCTGATTGGGGCTCCCTTGCTGGACCTGAATTTGGACCTTGTTGGATCCTTACTGGACTTGGATTTAATTTGGGCCTGAAATAATAATTAAATAATAAATAATATAATATAATATAATAATAATAATATATAATATATATATATATATATATATATATTGTATAATTATATAAATAATATATACTATATAATAATATATAATACTATATATTGTATAAATACTATAATATATATAATATCATATCATATAATTTATACTATATAAAATAATATATAATATAATATGATATAATATAATAAAAAGGAACCCAGACAAAAATGAGTGTCTACAGAAAGAAAAATGAGAAGGAAATGGGAATGAGAGAAATAAAGAGAAGTAGATGAAAGGGATATAAAACCTTCATTTTTTCACAAATGAGAAAATTACACTTTTAGTCATTCACATTTTACCTTATATTTTAAAATCCCCTTTTTTATAACTTATTGGACTCAAACCAACCCACTTAAGCGCAACTTGGCATAACGACTTGAATTACGAACTCCATGAGGCTCACATACCTCTCAAGTTAACTTGAAACTACTAGCCTGAATTTTGGGGTGTTACAATGTAAAAAAATGAAAAGGAGAATCGAGTTAATGAACTTATAAACGAGTCAATAAAAGAGTTTATTCGTAAACATACAAATTGAATACACTTATTTTTGTGTTCGTTCATTTATAAAATGAACATAAAAATTTTGTTCATACTCGTTTTTTTAACTTAATAAAAAATATTATAGGGACGATTTATGAATAATTCATTGAACACTCTGATTATTTACAACCCTAATAGGACTAATTCTAACCTATGATTTGAGTTTTGAGATACAATTTTATAAATGTGTAGTTTTGTTGATAGAATTTGTGCAAATTCTGTAATAATATAGTTGACAAAATCCGTGGGACAATTTCTTTTTAAAGAAATAAATTAAAACACAAAAACAAAGATATATCATGAATGTCGAAACTAAAAATATAATATTTTATGAACTTTACATATAATGCAATTTTATTAGAACAATATATAAATTTCATGTTTATATTTACACGTAGTCGCACGAATTCAAGTTATTTTAATAGTTAAAGTATTGATTGTTTTTTAGAGGTTTTATGTTTAAGTACAAATAACTTATATTTAAATATTCATTCTCAAATAATTTAAAATTTTAAAATATATATTACCTTATAGTCTTCTCAGTTTAATAAAAAAAATTATACAACCGTTCAAAGTTTTATTAGAAAACTTGTTATAAGTTTATATGAATATAAAATATAATTTACTATTTTATTAATTTAAATTATAATACGCAGTTTTAATATATAAAAATATATTATAAGTAGGAAATAATTCAAAATAGTCTGAAATTGTTACTTATAAATTTGAATAGTTTACTTATTGGTTTTTTTAATAATTTTCAAGCTTCTTATAAATTATCATTTTTAACAATTTATATTCATACAGTTACATAAATAATTATTAGATGATAGACATATTATTCCAAATTATAATAAAACATTATAATTATATAAATTTAATTTTAGATTAAGAGATTATCATTAGAAATTTTAAATTTGAATAAGAGTAAACCATGATTTATTGTTAAATGATTTATTTTTTTGAAATAAACATAATTTTATATTTATCTTAGAGTAATAAAAAATTAAATTAATTTTTAATTCGAGATGATGAGACGGAACTAACAAACGACAACCTTTGACAAAATGGCAAACCCGGGGGTTAGCGTAAGGCAACAAACTCCAACCAGCTGCTTCTCCTCCCACAAAATCCCAGTCTTTAGGTGAAAAAGGACAAACCCCAAAAGAGATCTTCCCCAGATTTCAACAACAGAGATACCGAGGAGGAAGAAGAATAAATGTGGGAATCCATCTGTTTAACATTGGCAGCCACTGCCGGTAATAACATTGGCAAAGTTCTACAAAAGAAGGGCACCGTTATTCTCCCTCCTCTCTCCTTAAAGCTCAAGGTCTCTCTCTCTCTCGTTTCTGGGTATCTTCCTTTTTACATATTCTTCAATGATTCATATTGCCATTGAACTTTTTTAAGCCACATTGATATTGGGTTTGGTCTGAAATTTTTCAATATGTGAAACTTTTTGGGATATTGGCTTCAGATCAGGCCTGAAATAGACATTTTCCAAGATGTTACCTTTTAGATAGAAGAATAAAGGAATTGCATTTGGTTGGAGTGGTTTTGATATTGACTGGTTTTGTAATTTTTTTATGTAGGTGATAAGAGCATATGCTGTTAATAAATCATGGGCGATTGGGTTTCTGATCGATATATCTGGTGCCTTGTTGATGCTGAGAGCGTTATCTATGGCTCCGGTGAATTTGATTTTCTTTAATTTTGCAATAGACCAAATTTGTTGTTTCTTTGTAGCGTGACCAATGCTTGCCTGCAAAGGGATTGATAGTGTAAAATTTGTGTATTCTTTATGTTTTTTACTAAGTGTTGTTCAGGTATCCGTCGTTCAACCGGTATCCGGCTGCGGGCTTGCCATTCTTTCGATCTTTTCGCACTTCTATCTACAAGAAGTCATGAATGTTATTGACTGGATGGGGATTACATTAGCTGGCATTGGCACCATAGGTAATTCAAGTTTTCCTGGTTCTCGATTTAGTTTAAAAGCCTTCCCCCCATTGACATCATGTTACTACCTTTACATTGAGCCTGTAACATACTCTTTTTACACCTTTCGGGCAGACTCGTGGCCTAAAGCACGGTAGAGCGATTGTGATATCCACATGTGCTGCTGTGGCATCGATCGTGACAGGCATACTGGCTGGTATGCTCGCATTGCGTGAACGGTTGCCTTCACCAGTTTCTCGTCTTTCACTTCTGCTCGGATGGTAAGTAGTGCACAATGTACCTTTTCTACACATTTTGTACAATAATACCGTAGTCCTAGATTTGTTGCTTCCGTTGTCATGTCTTGCATACCGTAGGAGATTTATGCACCGAAATGCTTCTTTTTGTTCCCATGAAATCTCTGTTGAAAATTTTCCGGTTGCAGGTTATTTATCATGATGGGAGTGCTATTGCTTGTGAGTTCAACGAGACTGATGCGGCACCTTCCATGGCCGTTGCAGAACTTAATACCTTGTGGAATGGATCGGAATTTCTGTCTAAGGAGAACAGGGTCCCATCGAGTCAAGGATCCTAGCCCGGCTGCTGTCATTCCAGCAGCCACATTGCACCATCTGATATCAGCACCGGCTAAGGCGAAGGCGTAACCAAAGAAAGCTAAGGATCACTGTATATTCATACATTATACGCCGATCCTCCGAGTAACTTTCGAGTGTCTATTTGTTTGACGTTATAAAGTGTGAAATTTGTAAAATAAAACTATTCTAAACTACCATAGTCCAATATACTTGGTTTCTTGCTGTTGCTCCATAGCATTGCTGTCGTCACTGATCATTTTGGTCGGGTACATATCGTTTCGATCTTAATCTGAGATCGGATTCGTTTTAGTTAAAATTTTGGTGTTCCGGTGATTATATGACATTGACCATGGCGATGTTGAATACCATTTTCATGACCGGGAAAACTATCAAAAAGTCAATTACGTTGCTAGCCATCCAGCATGATTGAAAACGATATTTTCCATTTATTGCAACCACCGACGCTTCCTAATTATTATCTTCTTTATGTGTTTTTTTGTTTTGGGAAAATATATATTTTGGTCTCTGAATCTGGTTTTAATGTTTAATTTGGTACCTAAAATTTTTTTTATACATAAATTTAGCTTCTTAATTCAAATTGGTACATAAATTTATCTTTTTGTTCTAAATTGGTTATGGTAACACCAAATTGAACCATGAAACCAACTTCAGATATCAAGCTGAACAATGAAGTCCAAGTACTTAAATTGATAAAAGACTTTGATGATAAGAAGATTGTTCTGATTGGTGAGCGACGAGGTTATATGTCTAATGTGATATCAGCCTTGGTAGTTGAGAAAATGATTTGGAAGGGAGTCGTAGCATACCTTGCTTATATTTTAGATTTAAGAAAGTCTGCTTTTGGGATTGAACAGATTCGTATCATGAGGGACTTTCTAGATGTCTTTCTGGAAGAGTTATCGGGTGTTCCACCTAACAGAGAGATAGAGTTTGGAATCGAATTTTATGCGAGTATCGCACCAATGTCCATGGCCCCTTACCACATGGCACCTAAAGAGTTGAGGGAGCTCAAAGTTTAGTTACAGGAGTTGTTGGACCGAGTTTTTATTCAGCCTAGTAATTCTTCGTGGGGAGTTCCCCTGCTCTTTGTTAAGAAAAAATGATGGTACATTGCATTTGTGCATAGATTATCGAAAGCTTGATAAGCTGACGATTAATAATAAATACCCATTGTGCATTGATTATTTTTTTGCTCAATTATGTGGTGCATCTGTTTTCTCTAATTCGATCTTCATTCCAGTTATTATCAGCTTAAGGTTAAAGATTCTGATGTTCCGAAGATAACTTTTCATACTCGATATGGTAATTATAAGTTCTTAGTGATGCCATTAGAGTTGACCAATGCCTCTGCTACTTTCATGGATATGATAAACCATGTATTCCAACTATATCTGGAGTAGTTTTTCATTGTATTTATCGACGGTATCTTGATGTACTAGAAGTATGAGGTTAAGCATGTTGAGCATTTGAGTGTTGTTTTTCATACTTTGAGGGATAAACAACTTTATGAGAAGTTCAATAAGTGTGAATTCTAGTTTAGCGAGGTAATGTTCTTGGGTAACATTATTTATGTTAAGGGTGTTTCCATTGATCCGAAAAAGATTGAGGTCATTCTGAACAGGAAACAACCTAAGAGTGTGGTTGAGATTCATAGTTTTCTGGGTCTGACAGGTTATTACCGGAGATTTTTAGAGGCGTTTTTTTATTGCAGCTACTTTGACAAAACTTCTAAGGAAGAATGTACATTTTGTTTGGGGTAAGGCTCAGTAGTCGAGTTTTGAATAGTGGAAATCGGTTTTGACTCAAGCTTCGGTTTTGATCCAACCCAAGTCTAGGAAGGATTATACAGTTTATAGTGATGCTTTGTATATTGGTTTGGGTTCTATTCTGATGTAAGATGGTAGAGTTGTGGCTTATGCGTCTCCTCAATTAAAGTTGCATAAGTGTAACTACCCTACTAATGACTTGGAGTTAGCTGCAGTGGTCTTTGCGTTAAAAATTTAGAGGCACTGCCTTTATGGGGAGAAGTATCATATCTTTACCGATCATAAAAGTATGAAATATTTGTTGACTCGGAAGGGTTTTCATTTGAGGTAACGTTGATGGTTAGAGTTTCTGAAAGACTATGATTTCAAGATTGAGTGTCATCTTGAAAAGGTCAATGTAGTTGTCGATGCATTGAGTCTTAGAGTGACTATTGATTTGAGGGTGATGTTCGCTAGTATGAGCTTTTATGACGATGATACCTTATTAACTGAGCTACGAGTTAAGCCTACTTTGGCAACTGAGATTAAGTCAGATAAATCTCTCGACTCATCCTTATTTTGGCTTGCAAAATGAGCTGAACAAGGTTCTGATTTTGAGTATACCTTTGACGAGGATGGTGTATTATGTTTCTTAGGACATTACTGTGTTTTGAATGATCCTGAGTTACGACCTGCTATTCTACGGGAAGCTCATGATGGTCCCTATTCGATGCATCTTGGTGTTAAGATGTATCGAAATCTCATAGAGATGTATTATTGGTCTGGTTTGAAAAGAGATGTCATTGAGTATGTGGCTAAGTGTTTGACTTGTCAGCAAGTGAATGCTGAGAATTAATTTATGTCTAGTTTATTTCAACCCATTCAGATTCTCGACTGGAAATAGGAGCGAGTAACTATGGATTTTGTCAGTGGATTGCCTTTGACACGGTCCAAGAAGGATTCTGTATGGGTTATCATTGATTGTCTCACCAAATCTGCTTACTTTATTTCGGTTCGGACTAACCATACTTTAGACAGATTGACTCAGCTACATATTTATGAGATTGTTCATCTTCATAGGGTTCTCTTGTCTATTATTTCTGATTGAGATCCAAGGTTTACGTCTCGATTTTGGAAGACTCTTCATGAGGCCTACGTACTACCCGCAGTCTGATGGTCAATCTGAGTGGGTTATTCAGATTCTGGAGGATATGTTGAGAAGGTATATTATTGATTTATGGGGCAGTTGGGAGGATCATTTTTCTTTGGTTGAGTTTGCCTACATCAATTATCAGACTCGTATTCAGATGGCACTGTATGAGGCTTTGTATGATCGCAGGTGTTATACATTGTTATGTTGGACATAGTTATATGAGAGGAGAGTTGCGGGACTCGATAGTTATATGAGAGGAGAGTTGTGGGACTCAATCTTATTCAGGAGACTGAGAGTACAATTAGATAGATCCAAGACAGGCTAAAAATTGCTTTTGATAAGCAAAATTCTTATGTTGATCTGAATAGATGAGATATTAAGTTCAGTGTTGGTGACATGGTATTTCTGAAAATATCTTCATAGAAGAAGGTTCTCAGGTTTGGCCGTAAAGGCAAGTTGAGTCCAAGGTTTATTGGACCTTATCAGATTATGCATCGAGTTGGTCCCGTTGCTTATCACCTTGAGTTACCGCCTGAGCTTGAGCGCATTCATGATGTCTTTTATGTCTCTATGTTGAGGCGCTAATGTTCTAATCCATCTCATATTATTTCTATTGAGGATATTGAGCTAAGACCTTATATGAGTTATGAGGAGGAGTCGAAACATATTCTTGCCCATGAGGATCGAGTATTGAGAAACCGTCTTATACCGATGGTTAAGATTTTATGGAGTAACCATAGTCTTTCAAAAGCCACCTGGAAGACTCAAAAGTCTAAGGAGGAGCAGTTTCCTTATCTTTTTCCACCAATTAAAATTTCGAGGCCAAAATTTTCTTAAGGGGAGAGTTGTAACGTCTCGATTTTGGGCTTAACTGAAATATTTTTGAACTATTGGGCATATTTAAAATTTCTCGTTATTTCAATGGTTATTTCTACAATTTACCCGAAATTAGAGTAATGAGAAAACCCCCACACTTCCTTTATCTCATTTTCCTCTCAAACCATACTTCCTCAATTATTTTCTCTTTTTTCTCTCCCAGCTAATCTTGTGCCTTTTCTCCAATTGGTCTCTGTTTTAGCAGTCGTGTGTCTCACCGTCGGCACCCTTGTCTTCATCTCATTATCGTCGTTCGCCTGGTACCCTCCATTCGTCGCTTGTCATTGCAGTTAGCATTAGGTGAGAGAGTTTAGTCTCTGGTTTTTAAGAAAACACAGTTCCGTCACTCTCCCCCGCATTTTGACCTTGATAAATTGTTCCATGTACTTTATTTTATTTTTTTAGAAAATTTCACATATAAATGGTCGTGCGCGTGTGGGGGAAACTGGTTGTTAAAATTGGTTGAACCAGTTACTACTAGACCGAATCAACTAAATCAGTCGTTCTTTGACCTGACCCTAAACTCAACCCATTGACTATTGATCATTGGCAGTTAACCGTTGACTTTGATCGTTGATTGCTAACTTTGATTGTTGACTTTGACCCATTGACTTTTTTCGAAGAACATATCTTTATGTTTTTGGACATTTTAAGTCTATTTTCACTGTTCGTTTTGCCAAATTCTGACCCAAAAGGCATATTTTATTCCATTTATCGCTTAAAGTCATAATCGTGTTAAGTGAATTATGGGATTTTAGACTCACTTTTCGGTATTATTTTCTGAATGTACTCTCGTGTCTCCAAATCACTCTCTAGTGGACCCTGATCACTCTAGTCCTACTCAATTGGATTCTGATCGTTCGTCTCGAGATACAATAAGTATTAGATGTGTGATTTTATAGTATAATTATGTTTAGTTGTTTGGCATACTGATTCATGAAATAGTATTATTTTAGGTTCCCATTTTGAAGGACCTAGTATTACTGATCGCGGGATGCGTAAGGCTTAGTGGATATTGATTATCTTCTATTTGTGTGTTCTATAAATCTGTTTGATATTTTCGTTGTATTATTTTATTATGTTATATGTTTTGTTTGAAAGAATGTTCATCGCTATTATAATTATCTGAGACATATCGGATTTATGAATAATGTTGCATCACTCATGATCCATATATTATTCATTTAAGGTTCTGCATGGGACTTTGTTCTCCGTCCTGATTCCTGTTAGGACTTCGTTCCCCATTATGTTTTTATTTGGGATCCTCTTCGGAAGATTATATCCTCATTCCTAATTACCACTACATTTTTATTATGTTGAATAGTATAAAATATGTTATTTGTTTTACTTTAGAGGAAAAGCTGAGATTTATAGCTCACTTTTTAGTTTCTGTCTTTTTAGATTATTCAGACCTTTAGGACTACGAC